GTGTTAACCATCTAGGAAACAACCATAGCAGTACAGCATGCTAGTTAGTGTTAACCAGCTGGGAAACAACCACAGCAGTACAGCATACTAGTTAGTATTAACCAGCTAGGAAACAACCACAGCAATATAGTACATGCTAGCTAGTGTTACCAGCTATGACTCACAGCTATATTTTTATGTTTGTTATACTCTCTCACCTGAGAACAGTGTCATGCACAGTCTGTAAGTGTGTCCATAAATTTTGATAAGTTTTAACTTTTTATAATAGATTTGTATTTATTTCATGGTAGTAAATAATGAAACAGACTACCATCTTCATATATTTTATATATTCATGACATATCTAATTTTTGCTTAATTTTCAATTTTTTTAGTTCGTCTACAAGTTTTTTCAAATTATCATAATTGGCTCCATGAACAAAAATGCTTTTTTTGTATTTCTCTTTAACTTCCCTGGCCACTAAGATTCACTGACCAGAACTTTACAACTTTGTTTCACTGATCTATTCCCTTTTGAGATATTTTTCCTCTAGAAATGGCAGACCCTCCTTGCAGCCACAGGATAAGGACAAGCTCTTACACCATCTGCTGTCTTGCAGCCCCCACAGATCGTGTCCAAGGACTGGCTGAGCTGCCTCCTCCCTTCGTCCTGCCTGTACACATAGCAGTTAACAATGATCAGTATTAACTCCACCCCCCACGCTTTACACTACTATAATCCCCCTGGGGGACTTAACCTGTCATCTTTTCATCATGTGGCATACATGCTAGCATAATTTCTCATTGTGCTAGCATGCCTGGCACTCTGCCCCACACAGGTGACAACATTCACTCATTTCACACATACATTATTTCAACTCTGGAAAAATGCTGACTCCACTAGTTGAGGAGACAGGTTTGAGGCCGTCCCTCCAATAAATCTCCCTTCTTCCCTGATAATTCTCATTGTTTCAGTAATTAGCTTTCTATGTGGTGAGTAACAGAGGGAAACCCCTTGAAGTTTCATTAATATTGCTATAGATCTCCAAAACAACTTTCCAATATATTTATTTTTTAAAAATCCATGTGCAGGCTGGGCTAGGCACCTGTAGCTCAATGGTTAGAGTGTGGCTCCATGCACTGAGGGTGGTGGGTTCGAACCCAGACCAGGCCTGCTGGACAAAATAAATAAATGATCCATGTGCAGTTTAAACCTGTGTTGTTCAAAGGTCAACTGTGGGGCTGGACGCAGCGGCTCACGTCTGTAATCTCCCAGCCCTTTGGGAGGCCGAGGCAGGCAGACTACCTGAGTTCAGGAGCTGGAGACCAGCCTAAGCAAGAGTGAGACCCTGTCTCTACCCAAAATAGAAAAACTAGCCAGGTGTTGTGATGGCTACTCAGGAGACTGAGGCAAGAGGATCTCTTGAGCCCAGGATTTTGAGGTTGCTGTGAGCTGTGATGCCATAGCGCTCTACAGAGGGTGACAAAGTGAGACTCTGTCTCAAAAAAAAAAAAGAAAAAGAAAAAAGGGTCAACTTTGTTATTCAGTAATGAAAACAAAGGAACCATTGCTGTGAACAAACAATACAGATGAATTTCAATGTAATTATGTTAGCTAAAAGCAACCAGACGAAGAAAGTATCTTCCATATTATCCCATTTATGTAAAATTCCAGAAAATGTAAAACTCATCCACAGGGAGAAAGTGGATCAGTGGTTGCCTGGTGTCTGGGGAGGACAGCCACCAAAAATTCACCCATCACCTTGTGAGGGTGGTTCCTGGTACACACTTCAAAGCTGATCAATCTTTGGAAATAGGTGCTATCTATCGGACATCAGTTACACATCGATACAGCTGTTTAAACACAGACAACAAATGAATAAATAACTATTCTCATGAAGTCTATAAATCTAGGAAATCTAGGAACAGAGTGATTTGTTAAATGAGAACAAGGAGATGCAATCTGTAAAAGTCTCACTGTTGAAAGCATCAATGACCAAATTACCAACATCTTCAACAAAGGATTTCAAGGACAAAGAAAAGATGATAAAGGAATCTATAAAGAGATTTATCAGCAACTACAATGAACTCTCATAAAGAAAAGGGGGGGGGGTTAAGAAAGGGGCAGGAGGGGAAGGAAGAGGGGAAGGGAAAGGGGAGAGGAAGGTGAAGAAGAGGAAGAAGGTGGGGAAGGGGAGGGAAGAGGGAGGGGAGGAGGAGGCTAAGAAAAGGGGAAGAAGGAAAAGGAAGGGTAGGGGAGAAAAAGGGGTTGCCACTTTACCAATCGGCAAGTGCCAGGAAGAACTCTGGCATCTTCGCAGTCAATGTACTTTGGTGCAAGATTCCGTTTATACAACTCCTGGAAAATGTAACCACTCTACAGTGATGGCAACAGGGCTGGCCCAGGTGATCTAGCCACAGAAAAAATGACTGGAAAAGCCCAGGGTGAGTTCTGAGCAGCATACTTTCATTTTTATAATTTTTTACATTGCTCAAATTTCTTTATGGAACAGTCAAGTATAATTCTTACAAATACAATAAAATTATTTTTGAATTGTTTTAAGGAAATACAGCTATATAACTGATACAGGAACATTTGTTTTACTTTTACTAAAGACTAAAACAAATGTTTATGTCCTGTGCTCAGTATTTCATGAATTTACTTGTGGCTGGAATGGAGCTTGTGGCCAGAACCAGGGCAGGTGCCCTTGGCACTAACCAGTTAGGATGCAGGGATGAGACAGGGACCAGGCAGATGCCCTTGGCACTAACCAGTTAGGCTGCATGGATGAGACAGGGACCAGGGCTGATGCCCTTGGCACTAACCAGTCATGACACAGGGACAAGAGTCTCTACCTCTAGGGGAGGTGGCCAGGCTCCTCAGAGGATGGCACAGACAAGTCACACACCCATGGCCTGGGCTGCCCTACTGCCCCACTCCATGTGTGTGGGCCCTGGCTGTGTGGGATACATTAGGGACACGTGTGTGGGGACTCTGACATGCCAAGTGTGGGATTTCTGACTGCCCCATCCAGCACTCCATGGTGATGTTTCCTGGGTCAGACCTCTAATTGGCACTGTTAGGCCATGACAAAGCCAGTGTCTGTCTGCGCCACGCTGCTGGCGTTTCACACGGCCCAGTCAGCAGTGTGTAAAGATGCAAAGACCATGCCCCAACGTCAGAAGCAAAGGCTACACATACAGACAGGAAGCTGGCTCTGGGAGGGATTTAAACTGTCATGCATGAAGCAGATGTGTCTGCAATGGGGACAGATGGGCCACTGAGAGGTACCTGGGTCAGAAGCTGGTCAGGTGCCAGCTGGTTGATCCAGCGTGTGTACCGTTCGGTGGAGTTAGGAGGATCTCTGCTCACACAGCAGCCTATAATCTGTGAAAAACAACCACAAACAGCAGGTAAGAGAAGACCATGCAGGCAGCATGTGCACTCAGCCCACTCATGTATACCCCACGCTGCTTTGAGCTACAGGTGCAGAGAGGATCTCACTGTGGCCTGCAGACTCTGGGTCAGGTCAGGAGGAATTCCTGGAGCATGGCAGGGGTGGGGAGGGGCTGTCCAGCCCAGGGACAGGCAGGAACTCAGCGTTACTGGACCCACACAGCAATGCTGAGTAGCATCTAAACAGTGAATAGCTGACGCTTCCCTCGGTGGAATTAAGAATATGACACAAACATTTCCTCCTTAATGTACTGAAATGAAAATGACTCACATACATGGTCAAAAACACCCACATTTTATGTCCAATGACTTACTTCTTGAACAATATCTCAAAGCAGATGACACAAATTGCCACCACGGCCTCGGGCAGCAAGTCTGAACATCCTCACTTTAGCTTCAGGAAACCCCGTCCCCAAATAAAGAGGGACCCACTAGGAGCTCAGTAACCCTAGAGTGGCCTCAAGCCCTATCTCCCTGGGCCACTAGATAACCCCCTAAGAACACGTCTTCTTAGTGTCCCCACACACCTCTCTGCTTCCTGCCAATTATCACTGTGACATTATACAAGCTCAGGGGCGTCCTTCTCACCTCCATCCACCCTCTGCCCAGCCTCTGCCTCCCCTTGCTGTGGACACGACCCATCTCCCTGCCCATCACCCCTTCTGCCCTTGCACTAGCCCCTGGCTCTGTTTGCTCCTGCCCCACCTGCCACAGCACCCTGAAATCTGGAGCAGTCGCTTGTACTCTTGCTGTAGTACACTCCTGCGGTATGTCCAAAAATCTTTAAGATGCTTAGATATAGGAGATCAGGTCCTACAGACAGTCTGAGGTCTGGACATCAGAGGTCATGCTCAGAGACCAGCTGCACAGCTGACTGGTTATGGGGCAGCCAAGCACTCTCCCCCAAGCTGGGGAGGGTACTGAGCGAGTCTGCATGCTACTGAGCCCTCCCGGCGAGGGTCCAGGGCTGTCCGGAGCCTGCCTGAGCTGATGCTCTTGCAGCAGGGCCCCTGGCCACCTTGCAGAACAGCCAGGAAACCTAAGTGTGGCCAGAGAGCATCAGTGGGTCTGCTGGCCATGATATGAGCTATGCCCAGGTAGCTGGTGTCTTAAATTTTATTCCAACACACGCAGCATTTATATGCAATGAGTAGTTTGTGTTAGTGCAGTAATAATGAGTTTGGAGGAGGCTTTTGCTTTTGCTTGCATTTTTTTTGTTGTTGGTTTAAATTAAACTTATTTTGAGAAAATTACGGATTCACATGCAGAGATAATCCTGAGAAGTCCCATGCTCTGTCTTGCTGGCTCTTGGGACACCGTGTGCATGGGTACCAGAAAGGGCACAGAGGTACTGGCATGGACTGCGTACACCACAAGGCCTGTGCAGCTCCCACCACATCCACACACGTGGTCCAGCGCTGCAGCCCTGCCCTTCCTACAACCTGCACAGTGGGACATGGTATGCAGCTTTCTGTAGAGGCTTCCATTCCACCCCAGGCTGCTGTGTGGGGACAGCCAGCTCTGCAGAGCAGAAGGATCGCAGCTTGTCCATTTATCCCAAAGGGTATACAGGCTGTTCCAGCTTGTAATCTGCTGTGATCATTCTCGCATGTAAATTTTCATGCTGGCACTTGGCGCTGTCACTGCTGTCCCCTCAGCCAGCCTGAGGGCCCCTCGCCACAGAGAGACATGCGCTGTAGATGGCACAGGTTAGCCTCTCCTCCTGGTTACTTGTCAACTGTAGATCTTTTGCAAGATGAACTTTCCTCTTTTGCCCATTTTGTTACTGGACTAAAACACATGTGGCCACAGCTGTGCACTTTTTATATGCTGCTGAATTCCATGTGTGAACCTCTTCTTTCTCTCCTAAAGGCAGTGATAGGCCAGGACGGCTCCCAAACCACCATCTTGCTCAGCAAGGAGGGACCCCACACATGACAAATGGAGACACAAATTGTCTACTGCATCTGTTTTCTCTTGTCTATGCTGGCTTGCATGTCACTACTGAATACAAAAGATTATGAATAGGAAAAAAAAAATGTTGATCAAAAGCTGTGAAGTAGAAACTCTATTTCAAAGGTATTCCCAAATATGAAGATAAAGATGCTTAACTCGTGTACACAAATGAGGCTCCAAGAGCTGGAACAGCTAGGTCATGAGCAGCTGTGGCAGGACATATGGCACCTGCTCTGCAGGGACCTCTGCTTCCAGCCAGCAGCACAAAAGGCTCCTCCTGGGCAAGGGGTCCTCCCTCCTTCACACCTCCTTAGTTTCATGCTCTGGGGAAATTAAGAGGCACGCTGGGGGAGTCTCATACTCAGAGCACAGGGTCCTGTGAAACTCAAGACTAACCTGCAATGAGCCACGAGCACTAATCTAGCATAGGAGAGGACCTCTGCTGGCCTGGACACTTCCAAATACCTCTTCTTGGTGCTAAGAAGGCACCAAGCTCTGTCCTGGAGGGTGAGGACCCCCCATCTTGAGAGATCAGCTACTCCTCATTAGCACCAGGCTGCCCAGCCCACCATGCCCACCCCTCTGTGCCATAGCAACCCACACTGCATGGTTCATTCACATGGGACTTTAGTGCCTGGCCCATCATGCTAGCTGCACACTCCTCTGCGCCACAGCAACCCACACCACATGGTTCATCCACACGGGACTTCAGTGCCCAGCCCACCACACCAGCTGCATGCTCCTCTGCACCACAGCAACCTACACTGCATGGTTCATCCACATAGGACTTCAGTCCCCAGCCCACCACGCCAGCTGCATGCTCCTCCATGCCAAGCAACCCACACTATGTGGTTCATCCACATGGGACTTCAGACTCTGTGAGCCCTGAGTTTAGCACTATGCCTGGCATTTGGGGGGTGGGGTGCTCTGCACATAGGAACACTGAAGGAAAGGGGCATGTGCCCACTCTTCAATATTCTGGACGTGGCCACTGGTGTAGGGCTCTCCTGAAGCTTTGATAACCGAGCACAGCAGAGCATCTGCCGACAGGCGCAGAGAGCACAGGTCCTGGGAGCAGATCCCAAGCAACCCTAAAACTCCTGAACGTGTGGTGTGTGGACCACTACAGTTGGTGCCAGAGCTGGAAACAGCCCAGGCCAGAACACTGGAAGAGAGGAGTGCCAAAACTAGAGAGGAGGGCAGGCAACTTGGCAGCCTGCGTTCTCCATTGCCACCATACCTCCATCCTGCCTGACACCTGCTCTGAGGTTGGGGTGGGGGGGGGGTGAACTCCCAGCAGGCTTTCCCACTGGGCTTGTCCTCGCAAATGGCCCCAGGCCATGAGGAAGGCAGGTGCAGGCTTGGCACTCCCACAGCCATGGCCTATATAGGCCTCTGGGTAGGCTGGACTACTGCCTACAGTGTCTAGCTGAGGCCCACTACAGGCAGCCACCCTGGGCCTGTACAAAGAATTCACAAGTGAGCCCCCACCCGCCATACCATATTGCTCCATGAAGCTTGAGGAGTCAATGATGGGAAAGCCAGGTTGCAGGGTCGCAGGGATGCCCAGCAGGATGGGCACAGACCAGGGCAGAACGAGTCCTGGGGACAGCAAGGGGCCTACTTCCAAAGGGCAGAAGACCACACTAGGTCACAGGGCTGGGCAAGCATCTGTCACTGGTTCAGCCATGGGAGGAGGCCTGGGTACTAGTGACAATGGAGGCAGAGGGATACCAGGGAAGTGAGAACCAGAAAACATGGTTATTCTCAGACAAGTGCCTCTCAGGCACAGGCCTGAGAATTCAGCTTGAAAACAAGATGAAAGGAAAAAGGAAAACAGTTGTAATTTTGACACTAATATCAACTCCTCCTGGGCTGCTGATTTGCGTTAAACGCCCTGCCCTCCTCAAGGAATCACTACATTTGGCTGCTCCATGGCAGTGTCCCTTGGGGGGATGCCTTGCTTCCCATCTACATTGTCCCGTGGTCACCATGAGCTTCTCTGAATGAACACCAGTATGAACCTGCCCTCCTCTGCAGCAGAGGTGACCCAGCAAGTAAGCAAAGCCCTGTATCTAAAAGGAAAATTACACAGAACCCACTGAAAGTGGAATAAGGTGTTGCCACTTGACCTCCTCTGAAGAAGGCTTAGAAACAGTTTATGGGAAACCCTTCCCAGCACCCCAAGGTGAGCACTATGCCACCCCCTCCCACAGACATGGACTACAACACAGAGAATGGCCTGAGGAAAAAAAGGTAAAATGTTTCTGTTTCTTCAAACCCCCCTGACCCTTTTGTTTTGAGAACTAAAACAGGGCAATGTCTTTCATTCTTTATGCTATAGAGAAGGTTTGAGAGCTGGAGGTCTCAAGATGGGATGGGGATAAATCTGGGCCAGAGGCCGTGAGATTAGCCCAAATGGGATTGTAGGACTAACTGGAGCCTTTAAAAGCTCTGTGCTTCTGTTCAGAAAGGGGATGCTGGTATTCTGAGACAGGAGTCTAACAGCTCCTCATTTGCTGGCAAATTAATAAATTACTCTTTCCTTCTCCTCAAACTCCTGGTCCCTCTTTCTGATGTGGCTTCAGGTGACTGGTTCTGAAAATTTGGTAACACCTTTTTTGGCACAGGGACAGGTTTCATGGCTGCCAATTTTTGCACACACAGGGGCAGTAAGGATGGTTTTGGGAAGACTTGAGCACAGCACACCCACTGAGACCCCTCGTTTACCTCCTGTGAGAATCTAATGCCACCACTGACCTGACAGGAGGGTGAACTCAGGCCATGATATGAATGATGAGGAGTGGCTATCAGTACAGATGAAGCTTCACTTGCCTGCCCACTGCTGACCTCTAGCTGTGCAGCCTTGTTCCTGACAGGTTACAGACTGATACCCACCAGGGGCCCAGAGGCTGGGACCACAGCATTAGGGTAACCCCTGGTGCAGGGGTGCTCCTAGGGGCCCTGGGATACAT